GACTACACACAGACTCATGGGGACTTGTGTCACGGTGGGGACCTATATTGTGGTCCCCACGGGTGCAAAAGCTTATAAATCATGCAGAATTAAGTTTTTTGAAAATCTAAAAATCTAAGTTTCCTGTAAGGGGTAGGTTTAGTGGTAGTGTTGGTGTAGGGCAATAGCATACACGGTCTGTACAGTAGAAAAACCATTACGCCTATGGAGAGTCCCCACAAGGATAGCAGACCAGACTGTGTGTGTGTGTGAGAGAGAGAGAGAGAGAATGTACAGTAGTCAGTCTGAAGACAGAATCTGTGTTCAACTGTGTTTGTGAGTATGTGACTTAATTATGGATAGTAACCTAATGTTATTATCTTTCACATGTAATTCTGGTGTCTGTGTTTTGTGCAGGAATCAGACCTGGTTGAGTCCAGTGGTTCGGGACGCTGAGGTGACCCGTGCTGCCCGCAGAAAGAGTTCACACAAAAAAGTTGCATGTATCCTTACCAAAGTCAAACACCATAGTTAAGTCAAGTTACATGTATTTATACAGCACTTTACAATGCATGTAGTTTCTAAACAGCTTCACCGCAATAAACAGAAAAATAACATTGTTAATGAGATAAAGTACATCCATTTTGAAAGAACTTCAATTTCAGCAATTATAAAACGAAAAGCAGCTCTACAGAAGACAATAGTGTCGTTATCCCGCTCAGTTGAGGTCAGCTTTTTGTTCTCATTTGGTAGTGTAAGTACAATGTATCTGCTGAAACTGTTATAAACATGTAGGAAAGTTTTTTGTTGTTTTCCCTTTACTATGTGTTCAGTCCCACTGGCACAGGATGACACTCCTGGCACCAGCACTACCCCTGCTAGACCACCACTGCGCCAAACACCTGGATCTCTGCTTAAACAAACTTGTAAGTAATCAGCATTATCTAGCTATCTGTCTCTGTTTATCTATAGATAAATTTATATGCTGCATGCAAAAACATAGTCTAACCATTGCAGTCTGATTCAGAAAGGACTCTCAATAATAACTCTTTCAATAAATGATTTAAAAATAATTTAAGTAACATAGTCATTGTTGATATGAATCAATCTGATGAATCTTTCATAGAATGAACTGACTGAATCCTTTAGTACTTAAGTTAGCAAGTCTTTACTTCCAGTCAAAAATTAAACAAGAAATATTTGCTTAATCTTTATCAGAATAGTAGTATCGTGATTGTTCATTTGACAGTGCGTAGTTGAAGATACAAAATTAACTATAAATATATTAAACTTAAAAGTATAATATTTTGTAATGCTGTTTTAAATTAAATAAAACATTAAACTTATGTAATTATTTAAGATAGGGGTTTTCAAACTAGGGGTCCTTTGTAAAAGTTTAAATAAAAACATTGACAAATGTCAAAATAAAGTATAAGATTAATTAAATGAAATGTAAAAAAAAAAATAATTGTAATTAGCTTAAACTAATGATACATCTAACAGTACAAAAATCTAGGGAGTAGAAAAAAACAATGTAAAAAAAAAAACAATATTTTACACACATATAATACATACATAAATAATATTTTCACAGTATAGATTAAGTCTTTATAAATGAAAAGCTATAGCTGCCTTTTAAATTTTAGGAGGTGTCTTGTCTGAGGATGATCATATTCATATTCCTCATGACATCTAAAAGATTGAAATTCCCCCTTTCTAAGATATTTAAATGTGTTGCTAAATGAGTATTTTAAAACCATTACGCCTATGGAGAGTCCCCACAAGAATAGCAAACCAGACGTGTGTGTGTGTGTGTGTGTGTGAGTGTGAGAGAGAGAGAGAGAGAATATACAGTAGTCAGTCTGAAGACAGAATCTGTGTTCAACTGTGTTTGTGAGTATGTGACTTAATTATGGATAGTAACCTAATGTTATTATCTTTCACATGTAATTCTGGTGTCTGTGTTTTGTGCAGGAATCAGACCTGGTTGAGTCCAGTGGTTCGGGACGCTGAGGTGACCCGTGCTGCCCGCAGAAAGAGTTCACACAAAAAAGTTGCATGTATCCTTACCAAAGTCAAACACCATAGTTAAGTCAAGTTACATGTATTTATACAGCACTTTACAATGCATGTAGTTTCAAAACTGCTTCACCGCAATAAACAGAAAAATAACATTGTTAATGAGATAAAGTACATCCATTTTGAAAGAACTTCAATTTCAGCAATTATAAAACGAAAAGCAGCTCTACAGAAGACAATGGTGTCGTTATCCCGCTCAGTTGAGGTCAGCTTTTTGTTCTCATTTGGTAGTGTAAGTACAATGTATCTGCTGAAACTGTTATAAACATGTAGGAAAGTTTTTTGTTGTTTTCCCTTTACTATGTGTTCAGTCCCACTGGCACAGGATGACACTCCTGGCACCAGCACTACCCCTGCTAGACCACTACTGCGCCAAACACCTGGATCTCTGCTTAAACAAACTTGTAAGTAATCAGCATTATCTAGCTATCTGTCTCTCTGTCTGTCTGTTTATCTATAGATAAATTTATATGCTGCATGCAAAAACATACAGTCTAACCATTGCAGTCTGATTCAGAAAGGACTCTCAATAATAACTCTTTCAATAAATGATTTAAAAATAATTTAAGTAACATAGTCATTGTTGATATGAATCAATCTGATGAATCTTTCATAGAATGAACTGACTGAATCCTTTAGTACTTAATTAAGTTAGCAAGTCTTTACTTCCAGTCAAAAATTAAACAAGAAATATTTGCTTAATCTTTATCAGAATAGTAGTATCGTGATTGTTCATTTGACAGTGCGTAGTTGAAGATACAAAATTAACTATAAATATATTAAACTTAAAAGTATAATATTTTGTAATGCTGTTTTAAATTAAATAAAACATTAAACTTATGTAATTATTTAAGACAGGGGTTTTCAAACTAGGGGTCCTTTGGAAAAGTTTAAATAAAAACATTTTGACAAATGTCAAAATAAAGTATAAGATTAATTAAATGAAATAAATGTTAAAAAAAAATTAATTGTAATTAGCTTAAACTAATGATACATCTAACAGTACAAAAATCTAGTGAGTAGAAAAAAACAATGAATGTAAAAAAAACTGAATATTTTACACACACATATAATAATACATACATAAATAATATTTTCACAGTATAGATGAAGTCTTTATAAATGAAAAGCTATAGCTGCCTTTTAAATTTTAGGAGGTGTCTTGTCTGAGGATGATCATATTCATATTCCTCATGACATCTAAAAGATTGACATTCCCCCTTTATAAGATATTTAAATGTGTTGCTAAATGAGTATTTATATATATATATAAATTTAGGAGGTAAGTGGGATTTTTTTTCCCCCAGTGTATTTACTCATCTAAGTTAGATGATGTTTGTGAAGAGTGGTCTGTATTGATGTGCAGTTGTTTTTATATCATGTACAGTCACCCCAAGAAGTGCCCTCAGGAACCCAGATGTGTCGGCCATCCTCGGGACAGGAAGCAGAACTCCTCGCTTCGTCAACACACCCCGTACCAAAGGCAGTCTGAGCATGGTGAGTGCCCAGAATTCATATGAACATACTTTATTTATTCTGATTACATATATTTGACGTGTTTGATGTCAGTGGTAACTCTTCTGCTTTGGGTTTTTGTTTGTTGGCACTTCAGAACTTGGATGACAGTGATTGGACAAACAGTCTTTACCCGTCTCCTCTGTCTGGACTGGTGGACACCAGCTTCACTGAGGATGGCAGCATGAGCGCTCTCATGCTAAAGGAAGATGATCCCGGAGAGGCTGGTAAATAATCATAATAATCATCATCACCACAAATGAAGTGACCGGTTTACATGATTTACAGCTCTCTCGCTTTGTCTCCTCTCAGCTTCTCTCAGTTTGTTTCCTGAATTTCTGCAGTCATATTTGCGTCATGCATCCACAGCTGTGTTTGATCTATTGGAGGATTATGAGGCTCTCTGTCAGGATAAGGTACACGCCTAGTAGTGCATAGACAGACTGGGAATTCAGAATTTCATTAAGTAGAAATATGAAATTATTTACAATATAAATTTAATATGTAACATAAATTATCTTTTTTTTTTTTTAAGTAGAAAAACTAAATGTTTTTAAATGGTAGCTAAATGACAATGTTGCCATAGCAAGCTGAATAAAATCCCTACTGAGATTTGTAATGTGCTGACCTGCATTGTAGGTTAGTATGTTGCAGAAAATGGTTCTTCGATCGGCCCCTGGTCAGCAGAAATCCTCCAAGACGGTCAGCATTACCTGGTTGCTGCAGCAAGAGATGGTGACCTGGAGGCTCATCACCTCGCTGTACAGGTACAACACTCTCATACATATTGACTTACACTGCCGTTTAAAAGGGTTGGCATAAAATGAAGAAGAAATTAATAATTTTATTCAGCAAGGGTGCATTAAATTTATCATAAGTGACAGTAAAGACATTTATTGCAAAAGATTTCTATTTCAAATAAATGTCCTTTTAAATGAGTAAATCCTGAAAAAATGTATCACTGTTTATTCAAAAATATTAATCAGCACAACTGTTACTTAATTGCTAACATACTGTTAAATCTCTCAAATGCAGAGACAGAGTACAGACGGTTTTAGAAGACGACATCATGATGGATATAACTGTAAGTGCATGTGTGACACTGTACTGTCTACGTAGATGGAAAACATGAATGTCATTGTATTATATTACAAAATGCCAAACCTTATGATAGCACAAGCACATTGGTCAAGCAAAAGATTTCATGAAATGAAGCCTGTTAGGTTTTAAATGATAAAACAGTAGATATACTGTCCAAAATTAACAAATAGTTCTCGAAGACTTTTAGAATGCCACAAAGCTATATCGTACCAGTGCCACTTATTTTGATATTTTGTGTCCATTGCAGTGACATTCATTCATTAATGGTGACTTAAGAATCTATGTTTTTCGGAGCCACTGCATATGAACTTGTGGTTTTGTTTTCTTTGGAGATGCCCACTGAGAGTGAGAAGGCAGTAATGGAGCAGTTCTTCCAGAAGGACAGTCTGGTGCGACAGAGCCAGGTACACATGCATCCATTTACACCCATCCTGCATGTTTCTGCATGGAAAAACCACTTTACTCAGTATCTGGTGTGTGTGTGTGTGTGTGTGTTTATTTAGCTGGTGGTGGATTGGTTGGAGAGTATCGCCAAAGATGAGATAGGAGACTTCTCTGATAACATTGAATACTACGCCAAATCTGTGTACTGGTAAGTGATATTACTGCTTATTTATATTATTGAACATCTCAAAACTCTGATTTCTAAATAAAATTTAATGCCTTAAAGACTTAGGCATTAGAGAATGCCTTAAAGAGGCTTTTATGGTGAATTGTTCATGTGTAGGGAGAACACGCTCCACACCCTGAAGCTGAGGAGGAATCAGTCCAGCGGTGGTTTCAGTAGGCCCCTGGTCACAGAGCTGGACCCCGATGCTCCCATCAGACAGAAGAGACCACTGGCAGACCTGGACAGAGAGGATGACTCTCGCCTGCTCAAAAATCTCTTTAACCTCATAAGAGCTGGCATGACTGATGAGGTGTGTGTTTGTTTTCTAATGAGGACTGTTATTAGGGATGGGAATTCTGAGTCATTTTATATTTGAGTATTGTGACACTGCAACACAAGTAATTGATTAGGTTTAATGTTTGTGACATTTCAAAACATACTTTTCTTAACCCTTTATTTTTATATTTGTTATGTAACTGCAGCTTCTGTGTTGAGAAGTCTGAGCATTCTGCTGTTTTCTTTCTTTGCTTACAAAAAATAATAAAAATAAAAACAACAGAGAATTAAATACTGAAAATGTCACTTTTTGTCTTTGCTACTGTGTGTGTGTGTGTGTAGGCTCAGAGACTGTGTAAGCGCTGTGGTCAAGCCTGGCGTGCTGCCACCTTGGAAGGCTGGAAGCTGTATCATGACCCCAACATCAACGGAGGTCAACACATGCACATACTAACCAACATTTAACTACATTAATATTTCCTTTTTATGCTAAATAGGACTTGAAAGGGATAGTTCACCCAAAAATAAATTTTCTGTTTTCATTTACTCACCCTCATGTCATTTCAAACCCATAAGATTTTCATTCATATTCTAAACATGAAGTTATTTTAATGAAACCTGAGAGGTTTGTGTTCCTCCATTGAAAGTCCATTCCACCAGAACTTTGACACTTCAAAAAGTTTCACTTCATAAAGACCTAGTCAATGCAATATGATTCGAGCTGTTTATTCAAAGAGACACGAATGCTTTTTATGAAGAACAGTTTTTATTTAGGCTTTTGTTTACATATCAACATTGATCGATGCACTATGCTCGATGCTCAACTATGCCTGTTTGATGTGCGAGAACCAAGAATGATGATGACAGATGACAGAATTTTTATATTTAAGTGAAATATCCCATTGTTAAAACAGTTATATGATTCATAATTTGTGTGTGCTTGGACACTCTACTATTGTCCAGGAATGTAAAAATGTTGAATATATATTGCAGTAATTAAAAAAAAGTCATGGTAGTTACTATAAGAAATATACATTATTTTCTAGTTAAAAATATTGAATTAGCTGTAATTTCTTGAGTGCATTTTCTTGAAATTATTTTTTAAAATACAGTGATCACAATTGACAAAGTCATGGGCAATCGTTGGTCAGTCGGAGTGATTTGTTTGTGTGTGTGTGTGTGTGTGTGTTCAGGAGGTGGAGAGCTTCAGTCTGTGGAGGGGAATCCACATCGAAGCGTGTGGAAGGTTTGCTGTTGGAGAATGGCAGAGGAGGTGAGGAAACTCTAGATCTGTGGTCTACAGGAGGGTGCTAGGGTGTCTGTGGGAAATGTGAGGAACAAAAATTTACTAAATGTATTTTTAGGGCAACATTGACAGTAATTTGAATAAAAAAAGGTTGTTTTTTCCTCTTGTTTTGACTCAAATACATTGACAGCTATTTGGTTTAATTTGACAAACAATGTGTTGTCTTTTATAATGCATTATCTTCGTCACACAATATAAATAGTTTCTTATACATAAAAATATATCCTTTATATACCTTTATACATTTAAGATTCTTTTAAGATTTTACATTTAAGAAAAAGTTTGAAACCCGTTATTCTAGATAGAAGTCTCAGGAAATTTTAAATCAGTAATTAAATTAGATCAAATGCCTGTAAACTTAAGTCTGACAGCTTCTGTGAATGTTTCAGTCATTCTGATTAAGATTCTACTTTGCTTTTCTGTTTCAGGAGCAGTTCAACAAATATGAAAGAGCCATCTATGCTGCACTGAGTGGAAACCTCCAACAGGTAAATAGTCATCTACCTGTTCTTCAGGGTGTCCGCGGGGTCTTAAAAAGTATTAAAAGTTGATAAATCAATTTAGAGAAAATTAAGGCCCTTAAAAAGTATTAAAAAGTCTTAAATGCCATTTTCCAAAGGTATTACATTTTGTATCATCTTTTCATTGTGTAAATTTGTCGAATAGTGGGGTTCTGTGTATTTTATTTATGGAATCCCACAAGATTTGACGTCATTTGTTACAGCGCTCACTGACTTGACTGCACTGCTGCGTGATAGTGCGGGGCTTGTTGATCCTGCTCTCGCTGAATTTCTAACCATTACCGCATACTCCCATCCGCTCCCGCTATTTTTGTGTCCGCTCCCGCAAACATTCTAATATTGTATATAATTTTCGCACATCAGGGCACCGCTATCAATATGTGGGGTATTTAAATCCCTTTTGAATGAGCGCTCGCAGTCGTAGTTCACTTTCGATGTCGCGATCGTGCGCACACTGTGTAAAGGGAGCACATCCTACGATAAAAGATATTTGTCAATGAGCTCAGGATCTGTTGAGGAGCAAATCCTCCAACATCATTGTCAGTTATCTCTCCTTACTTTTGTAACCCGTGATTAGTCAAATCTGACTTCTGCAGCTCGTGTTGGATGCAGGGTTGTTGTTGTTTTTTTCCCACGAAATTGGGCTGCTTTTAAACTGTTGCCATGGGTTGATTTTCCCCAGTGGGTTAAAGGTTTAAAATATTGCATAAATTACATTTGGTTGAAATGCTTGTACTCAAACATTTTGCATTCTACCTGTAATAAAACTGT